CCCCAAAACCCCAAAACCCCAAAACCCCGGCTTACTAAGGGATTTTTGAGATATAAATAATTATTTTGAACCCAATGGATTGACTGGAGAAAAGTTTGGAGATTAAGGTGACCAAGAAGAGTGGAAAACTTAGGTCTAAGGAGTATAGAGAGCGTAAGAAGGATTATATTCGAAATTTGGAGGAGAGGGTACAGAAACTTGAAGCTGAGATTTTTGAGGTGAAGTTAGAAAATAATAAATTGAGAGACAAAGCAAAAGAAGAGCAGAAAGTAAGATATTAATTCTCTTAACTGCATATTTTTAACTATCAGTCATCCTCAAATCTAATAAAATTTGGATAGATTTTTAATACATTAGCATCATTTATCTGCTTTAATGTGATTATTATTTACCAAAATGAAAATAAATGACATCATTTTAAATAAGTCAATTCTAGTCTGAGCAAGCAATACACAAACCTCACTTCAAAAGCAGACTTCATGAATATGAGAGTTATGTATTTGATAACCTGTATCCTAAACTCAAGAAAAACTCATCGGAAATAAGATTTTCAACTTTCCAACAAGCTTTCACACAAGTAGCTGATTACTCGTAAGCTCAGTCTTCACTCCTAGTGATAACAGGAAGGAATACATCAAGTCATGCTTTCAAGGTAATATCCTCATAACTTTAGAAATCTATGACAACATTATTTTCGCAGAGACTAAGGTCTTTCATTTCGTTCTTGATAAAATGGGAGTGTCTACTTGGCTTCAGAAAGCTAAGGCAAAGAAAAGATTAATCAAGCAGGAGCTCAAAGAAAATGCTACGCCAGAGGAAGCTCTTCTGGGCTATAGATTCAGTAAACCAATAATGGATTATGTTGAAAAAGAGAAATCTAAACTTTCTAAATACAGAAAAGGAATCAAAAAGCTGTATATTTCAAATCAACATTTAGAGTAAAAGAACTCTCTTCTTTACAAAAGAGACTCTTCTCTTTATACGAAGACTTCAAACTCACCCAAGAAAACTCAAAATCCTACTGGCTATACACCAAAGAAGACATCAAGATCGTATTCGAACTAATCGAAAGATTCAAAGACTCTCCATACTTATCCAGCAAGAACCTCTGGGGAGTCTAGATCAGTAATCTAAGACTTCTTACCCACCTAAATCCCAATTTCAACCCCTATTTCTCCTTTCGGGGTTTTGGGGTTTTGGGGTTTTGGGGTTTTGGGG